GTTTGAGTTAGATATTGGGCAAACGTTAAATAGAGGTTTAATTTTGTTTGTTAAATATCTAATTCTTATTTTATCTTGGATGATCATTAAACGTTTGATAAATGCTTAACTAAATGACATTTGCAGAGGTTGCTGGGTAAATTTTATCCCGTCTTGAGGACAGTGTGAGTGACCGCCGACGCCGACCGGTGACCGCCATTTGCAATCGACCTTGCTTATTCATTCTCATTCTCACTGCTAGCTTGACTGCTTGGGCTGCTTCACTTCACTTTCTCTTTTTTCTTTTTACTTTAGTTCAGTTTGGTTCCATTTTAGTGCAGTATTCCACACACTTTATAAAGTTCAAGTTTAGTTTATTAGTTCAAATGTTCCAATCAATTCTGCTGCTAGACTAAGACTCGAGACTAAGTTGACTGTTACCTCACCTCACTGGTAAGAATTATTGACTTTAATTATCAAATTGGTAGCCTCTTTGGCCCACGCCAAAATGCCGTGGGCGGTTGTTGAATTTTTGACAAGTGAGGAGGTGGAGGCAGTGCCTCGAAACTGGATAATTAAACATGAGGACAATCTCATGTGTTTGTGGCCACCTCCCAAAGTCCTCAAGCTGACTGACCTAATTGCGAGGGAAGTGGACATTAGTGAACTTGATGGGACAACAAAATACAGCATTCGTATTCTTGGTGAAAACTATGGTGAGATTTGATAGGCTACTTAGGCTAAGTTAGTGTATTCCTTAGACTTGACTTGAAAAACAACCCTAGGCCGTCCTTTTACATAGGCCTAGGCCTAACTTAACCTTACTAACCTGCGAGTACTATAAACTTTTTAAGGGCCTAACTTACTAGCCTATTTTTATTTTATTAAGTTATGGCACTAGGCATTTGAAAGCTTATTGCATGGGCTAGCTTATCAAGTTTTGGCTACAGGCCTTTATTGATGTGAGGTTTTTTAGGTTCACTTAAAAAACAGTTGTAAATCTCAGGGGCATATGCACTGTCCATTCTTTTTAAGGTGGATGTTTGTTTATGAGCTAGCCTACGGTAGCCTAGCCTACTAAAGTTAACCACCTCAAGCTAAGTGTTAAGGGATTTTTTTGGAAAACAAACCTTGCTACGGAGACGTTTTTTAGATACCGTTAACTTAGTATATATTGTTAACCTAGTAGTGCGGTGCAATTAGACCTAAACCGGGACATCAAAAAAAAAAGTTTCAAACCAGCCAAATTGTTGAATACACATCCCTCAATATTTAAAAAAGTTACACTGATTTGAGTGTCGGATTTGGGGGGGGAGGGGATGAAAATGGGGTGAAAATAGGACTTTTTTACTTTTTTTTCAAATACCTAAAAAACGGTGAGTTTTACTTAAAATACAATGAATTACAAAAATAATCTACATTAAATTTCGAACAAAATGATATTATACAATACCTATCTACTATGAACGGTTCAGGAAATATTGGGGGGTAAATGTGATTTTTTCACTGTACTACAGTAGTTCAGGAGATATAGGTTGCTTGGATCTTAATAAAAGGTTAATTAAGTGATATAAAGCTATTTAAACTTTTATATACGTCTACCGATAATAAATTAGCCATTGTATATATTTCAGAAACCTTTGCTCAGGCAAGACGAAAATGCATCAAAGCTCAAAAAGAGTCAGAACTTGATAGTTGTGGAGAAAGTGAAGCGGAAAGAGCTACAAGGAAACGGTTTCCAAAAACCTCGTTTTCTCCATCAAATTCACCAAAAAAAAGAAAGATTTCAGACATCTCAAAATTAGATTCGCCGAACGGTCCTCTACTTCCACCCCCAACATTTGTTTCCACCAGAAATCATTCCAAAATCCACCATAATGATTGTTCAAGTAGTCCTAGGCCTACAACACATAAACAAGAAACAAGTCAAGTGAAACGTACACATAAGTTGTCTACTTTGGATGAAGGTAAATTTTGCTTAAAATTTTCATTGATGAATTTAACCAATGATTTCATTTTACCTTAATATCATGTATTGAGGTTATATCCTTGTTTCATACACACCTAATCTGTTGTTGGCTTTGCAAATTGTTCATTTAAATAGGACAAATTTACATTTTATCGATGTAATTTTCCAACGCAATTATTGACCAACAATTTATTAGTGTGTCATCAAATAGCAAACTTGGTGAACCCAAACTCCAATTAACTTGTACCTTACCTAATTAATAATATCCCTTCCCTCTTCTCTCTATAGGGCTTTCATTTCTTTTAACCAAAGTTAGGTATTGGGTGGAATTTTAAGTGTACCGGTAAGCTTTAATCTAATGCATAAAATTCAACATTTTTTGGTGCTTTTATTTTTTACTTTAGGTTTTAAATTTTGACATTATTTTGATTGTAGTATTGATTACTTGGTTCCAAGGTCTAATATATATCTACATAACTTATGTAGTGTTTTGTACAAAAGGCTTCCATTTATAATAAATGGCCATGCAGGTTTATAGTGTATGTTTAAAAATTTGGTTTAGGTAGTGATTTTGCAGCAACCAACTTGTTTCATAGAATGCTGCAGCTGCCTTGCTATTGTAGGCTAATAGGGTGCCCTGGATGCTGGTTTCCGGACTTGTATAGGCCTATGTAAAATAATTTTTTTCAATTTGAAAGTGTGATTTATCTGAAGTTAACTTTAGGTAGGTACCGGTACTGCCAAAGACAGGTTTTGACCTTCGTGATGAGTTATATTGTGAAGGTTAGAGCGTTGACTTTGGTATGGGGCACACATGCTCGATTTTCGTTTTTCAAGGGTTTTGCCTTTACAAATAGCTGATGAGAAGCCTAAATATCTACAGTCAGGTAAAAAATGGCTACTAATATTGAAGAATTGCTAAAACAAAGCACTGAAATTCAGAAAAACCTGACATCTATACTTTCTAAAACTCAATGAGGAGGCTGAGCCTTTTGACGATTACTTAGATAGGCTCACTTGTTTTCTTAATCTACAAAATGTTCCAGATTCCAAGAAGGTTAATACACTAATTACAGTGCTTAGCCCTAAGTTGAATTCTCTGTTAAAAAAAACTTGCTTCACCCAACTACATACAAAGAAAAATCGTTTACTGAGCTAACTGAACTTTTGAGGGCTCACTTAAATCCGAAGCCTTAAATCATCCCAAGTAGGTATGAATTCCTTAACAGTAAACAATTAGAAGGGGAAACCATTAGTCAGTACGTAGCTGAACTTAGAAAGTTGGTGGTACCATGCCAGTACTCAAGCACTATGCTTAGAGATGTGTTTGTTAGCGGATTACAGTCCAAGGGAATGCTAGACAGGTTATTTGAGGAGGATGATCCAGATTTTACCAAAACTGTTGAAATAGCCTTAGCTCTGGAGCGTGCTACGTTGGGGGCTAGTGAAATTTTACATAAACCTGTTTTTTTGTCAAAGCAAGTAGATAAGTTACAACTGGACTTCAACAAGAGAGGAGGTAAGCCCAGCTATAATTAAAATAGAAGCGGGCAGAAGCAGAACAACAATCAACCGAGGTCTTGTGTGCCTAATACAGGTCAGTCTAACGTCAAATGCATGAGGTGTGCAAAAATGGGCAACAAGGCTCCAGAATGTTTTTCAAAAAACTTGATTTGTGTTTGTGTGAAAATGCAACTAACTACAAGTAAGTCAAGCCCAAGTAAGCCTATTCAAAATAAACAAAAGCCCCAAGAGCTCCACCACCTTTGTGTGGAAGAAACTTTGCCTTTATACCAAGTCACTCAGATGCAAGGCCTCCAATCTTACTCGATGTACTTATCGATGGAGTTCCCTTGTCTTTTGAGTTAGATACCGGAAGTGCAGCCTCAGTAGTTAGTTTGGACAATTTTCAGTCTGTGACGTCCCGCAGCATACAACCTACCAACGTCCAATTTAATAGTTACAACAATAATATTATAGTGCCCATAGGTGAGGCCACAGTAGAAGTAGAAGTTAATAATCAAAAGAAATTGCTTAAGCTATACATAGTTTCTGAAAACCGTTCATCCATCTTTGGCAAGAGATTGGTTATTTCAATTCCATCTTGATTGGAGCAGCATCAAACCTAGTAGGCCTATAAAATCTCTTGAAGTCTCTACAAGGAATTTAAATGTATGGATCAAACCTAACCTAACCAAGCTACTCACCAAATATAAAGAAGTCTCTGACAAGAATGTAGGTACCATAAACAATTTTGTGTGCGATCTGAAATCGAAACCAAATGCTGTGCCATGCTTTTCCAAAGCTCGTGTAGTACCTTTAACTTTACAGAACCAAGTAGAGTTAGAACTTGCTCGTTTGGAGCGTGAAGGGATCATACAACCTGTCGACACCTCAGAATGGGCTACACCGATTGTCCCTGTTGTTAAACCTAACGAAACTATCCGCATTTGCGCAGATTATTCTGGTACCGTAAATAAACAAATTGAAGTACCACAACATCCTCTACCTAGATACGAAGATGTTTTTTCTAAACTCAGTGGGGGCTTACATTTCGCTACGCTGGATATTCTTTCCGCCTTTCTACATATGCCTCTGTCTGAGCAAACTTCGAAAATCCTAACTATCAATACACACAAGGGATTGTACCGCTGTCTTAGGCTTATGGCTTATGTCTTAGACGAGTAGCCAACCACATCCACCTGAATCACCTATCTCAGCGGCTCCCCTCAACCCTCAGCTGATTGAATCATTGCCAGTGAAATTTGTGTGTGATGTGAATAAGGGCAATAATGTGATTACATCAAGCTCTGTGAGTAATATAAATAACTAGCTGCTATACCCGTGCTTCGCAACGGGGTGAAAATTAAGTGTGGAAGAACGTTGTACCCTTAGTATAAAAAAATCATCATTGATACTTAAAACTATCTCATAAATTTTAGACAAACAAAAAAATATAAACCAACTTTTAGATAAAATAATAAACAAAAAAGTAAACCTTTACCAATAGTTTTATCTTTATTAAAATAATATTTTCAGTCAAATGCTTATCTTAGAGCACGTTTTTGTATACAATGTTTGTGACTTTTTCTAGTGATGTTAAAATGAAAAGGTTTTTACCACTGGAGACACGGGAGCACGCCACATACAACTGACCGTGACTAAAGCACTGGTTTTCCAAATGAAGTCCCGCCACCTTCATTGTTTGCCCTTGAGATTTATTAATTGACATAGCAAAAGCTACTCTTATTGGGAACTGAAGCCTTTTAAAATTGAATGGTAGGTCTGTAGGTATGATCGGGATTCTAGGAATAATGACATCTTCGCCTTTAGCGTAGCCTGTAATTATTGTGGCCTGAACAATGTTGCGTCTGATGCTTTTTATAACTAACCTTGTTCCATTGCACAACTTCGGTGCATCTAAATTTCGCATTAGCATGACAGGCACACCAACTTTAAGACAAAGTTCATGGGGTGGAACTCCAGAAAGTTCCAAAGAATTGAGGAACTCCTTTGGATAATTTACAGCTTGTTCTTCATCCATAATTGTGTCTATTGAGTTAAAAGTGGTGGTTTCACCAGGTAGAGATGTAAGGATTTTGTTATTTATTCTGTTAACCGCGTCATTTTTTGGACAAAGTATAGCTCTTTCGCATAGCCAGTCACTTGAACTGTAATTAACTGCAATGTTTGGAAACACTGATGAAATAAGGTCCTCAGTAGAAGAAACAAAATTGCAAAACTTGTTAGGTAGGTTGATCATCTGATGAACATCTGAAGGTACTCTTCCTTCGCCTATTGTCAAAAGATCATGAGCAAACTGTCCTGAGTCAACGTCGTTAAATAGGTGCACTCTCATGTTCTGGGTTAGGTGTAGTTTGGTAACATGACTCCAAAGGATAAAAGTTTTGAGGCATGCGTTGATCTCATCTGCAGGAGTCCCTTTTTGTACGACTGGTAAAGTTTGTCTGAAGTCTCCGGCTAAGAGCACTACCAAGCCACCCATCAATAGACTGTTCCCCCTGACATCCTGCAATAATCGATTTAAAGCCTCTAGAGCTCGCTTGTGGGACATTGTGCACTCGTCCCAGACCAGAAGTTTGCACTGACGAAGTAAAGCTGCCCGCTCCGAGTCCTTGCTGATATTGCATGTGGCACTTTCTGTGCTTGTCAAGTTTAAGGGAAGTTTAAAAACGGAATGTGCTGTCCTACCTCCCGGTAAAAGAGTGGCGGCAATACCTGAAGATGCAACCGCCATAGCAATATCGTTTTCTTTCCGAATATGTGCGAGCAAAAGTTTCATAACAAACGTCTTCCCAGTACCACCAGGAGCGTCCAGAAAAAAAACTGCACTTTCCTGGTTGATTATTTTTGTAAGAACTATGTCTACGACATTTCGTTGTTCAGGAAGTAGCTTCGGTGTCATTTCTTGGACATACTGTGCAAGCTCATCAGGGTTATAAGACCTTTCACGGAGTACTTCTGTGTTGGCTTCCAAATTTAAATGAGGTCTTGGTAAACCGAAAGCGCTAAGATCCTTTCCACAAATAGACAAAATTCTCTGTTGAAGATCTTTGAGAGCTTCGTTAATGATTAGGTCATTTACCTCCAATTGAGGAACTGCAACTCTGTGTCTGTGGAGTATGTCTTCAGACATGCCACTCTTATACTTTTCCCATAAATGTAAAGGGTTTAGAAGCCCACATGAACTAATGAGAATGGCAAACAATTGGCGTATGAGTGGCGCTGACTTAACTAAGGCAGCTTCCTGCATTGTGGAATCCCAGTGATTTTCGTCTTCTAAAAGACCGAGAGATTGACAGGCTTCCTTATAAGTTGCATATATGACATTTTCAACGGTCCTCAGGTCTTGGAAGGATGTCGGACCACGCACCTTGTGCAAAAGCATTCGCAAACAAAAGCATTCAAGGTTGTTAGGGTGGATGTTGTAAACACGACCCAGAGCATCGCTGTACTTTATACCTGGATTGTTTTCAACAGGAACGCCCAATAGTCGACGCCGGAACTCTTTTCTAGTGGCATTCCATGTGTAGTAGTGAGGCACTTCACAATATAAGAGTGTTTTGGCAAATGGATCATTTTGACATAGCTTGAAGAAAGCAGTTAAAGTAGAGTTTGGAGGGTTTTGGATTATTTCGTGCATGTTTCGGTCAGTGAAGTAAACACGTTGGCCATTTTCTAGATGAACACTTAAGTGTGTCACTGTTGGGTACCTCTAGTGAAGGTGAAAACTAAATATCCTCCAGAAAGCTTCATTACTGCTGACATACCGACCCGACTGATACATCTCAACCTCGTCAAGGCGGTTATGTTGGTTCACTTCGCCTTGAAGTACAAATACTGCTTGATCACTGCCTTTGTTAATGTATTTGCATATATACTTTATCGATTTAACTGAACTACAAATTTCGACATTTATGTGAGCATTAAATAACTTGCTTAGTAGTGGGCTGTAAGGAACAATCCATGTGTTATCAATTTGTACAGGATTGTTACCAGTGGCTGTCATGTTGATATGAGCAATTCTGCCACCGTCATCAGGGCTGCGTCTTCTGTACAGTGGATAACCATTCTCGTTAGTCTGAGTCTCTTTAATAGGAGATTTTGGATACCCTTTTGTACACTTTCCATGTTTCATGCATGGGGAGTTAGGATTGAGGTTACAACATGGACCATGCACCATGTTCTTTATAACAATGTCGTATAGAAGGGGATCGACAGTGTTGTCAGGAATTTCTGCTTTTATGATGTCATCAATTTTGTTGGGTTGGATTTGTTCGGACAGCCAAATCAGAACGTGAATGTGAGGTAAACCGCGTTTCTGCCACTCCACAGTGTACATCCAGCACCTTACAGAACCAAATATTTCACCTTTGGTGATAACGGCAATAAACTTTATGATTTTTTGTCGAAAAACTCGAGCAACTACATCGTGTCTGCCTGTTGCTTTTTGTCCTGGAAACAATTCTGAGGTAATCTCTTCCCATTTAGGATTGCAGGTCATTGTGATGAACAAATCTGGTCTCCCATAATGTCTTACATAGGCCAACGCATCCTGAGCATGTTCGTGCATATAACGTGGACTGCCGGTAAACGTTGATGGCAGAATGACTACTTGACCAAGGTTGTTAGGGTTCGTAGTACCGTCAACAGCAATTGCGTCTTGGAGATGGATGTAGTTTTCTGCCCTAAGTTTTCCTTGATTTTTTTTAATGAAATGAAGTCTTTCTGACTCAATTTTAACGAACATGTCGACAACGAATTGATTCAACAGTTGTTTGTACAGATGAATGGAGAAGCTACCATTCCTAACCATAAGATGAAAACAATAAAACTGGAGGGAAGTTATCTTTTTGTTGTAAACAGGTTGATTGTTGGCCGGATTATTTGGTGGAATGCAAAAATGGTATCCTTCTTGGCCTTTCCAGAATATCAAAGGATACTGCAGAGCATCGTAAAACCTGTGTGTTTCCGCCACCCTAACCAGAGTCTCGTCGCGCCGTCGAAGAACAATGTCACGTGTTTCAAACTCATTGCCAACAATGACAGCAGCTATTTCATTAGTTGTGGGTGCATTGAAGCGTCTTTCATGCTCTCCAGGGGGCCGACGGTCGGCACGAATGATCACCTTTAGTTCATCTGCTGGCCACTGATCCATTGCTAACTTAAATGTACGGATGAGTTGGTTGTTTTCATGAAGCATCTGTTGTAAAGTGTTCACTGTATTCCGATTTAAACCTTGGATGTTGTCACAACGTCTACACCTTTTCCACATTTATTTGAGAAGTTATTAATTGTATTTGAGATTAATTACTTGTATTTGAGAAAATATCAAATGTAAATTAGATTAGTCAGTTGAATTTGATCAAACAACAAATGTAGTTGAGAATAATCAATTGTATTTGAGAAAAAAGTTTAATTTCATTTCAGAAAGGGTGATTTGAATTTGAGAAGTTGTCAATTGTATTATTTGAGAAAATTATCCAAATTAAAATCAGCTGTGCTTTGTTAATTGCTATGGTTACTACAATGTTATTTGTTTACTTGCAGTGTGAGGTTTTGTTGTTGTGTTGGAAGACTTAAATGATACTTTTTTAATACTTTTCGATAATGCAAATAACCTTTTCTTAATTTGAAATGAAAGTGACCAACTGACATTTTCTGAAGTACAAGTGTAGTGTAAATTTGTTAAATATTAGACATGGAGCTCAAAAACAACTGTGGTATTTGCCAATCCAGCATGTTGAGAAAACCCGTAATAAGAATTTTGCCCTGTAGACATTTGCTACATCAGATTTGTTTGGAAAACCAGCGTGAATTGCAGGTGTTCAATGCAGAACAATGTCCTATTTGCCGTCAAGATATTGATATGGTGGAACACATAGTTAGAAAATTATACCAAAAACATTCAAACCAAGACCGGCTAAGAATTGTCTCAACTGCCAACAGAGGTGAAGATTGGGTAGCGTTAAGCTCTCAATTAAATGTCCCCTACAAAACAGCATACCGGTGGGTCAGGTCGGGAGATAATGCACCTCTACCCAAGGGGGAAAAGAAGCCGAAAGTGTTAATAGATGAAGAAATAGATGAGATTTAAACCTGGACAGAGAACGATTGTGGTCTTACATTAAAACAAATTCAAAGTAAGGTTTAGAATTATTTTCAAAAAATTGTTTCCATTTTAACAATTGGAAACTACCTTGAAGGTAGGGTAATGACTTTTAAGCAGGTCCATAAAGAACCGGTTACAATGAACTCAATCCACAACAAGGCTAGACGAGCCGACTATGTTCGCACTTTAAACAAACTTATTCAACAAGGGAAGCAAATTGTTTGGATCGATGAGACCAATTTCAATATGTTCTGTAGACGCAAAAGAGGACGAGCTAAAGCTGGAAACAGAGCAGTTCAAAAGCTACCAGCAAGCAAAGGACCTAATGTCCATTTAATTTGTGCGATTTCGGCTGCAGGCTTATTTGCTATGGATCGAAGAAGAGGGTCATTCACTAACGAATCAGCAAATGAATGGGTTGAAGAAACCTTAATGCAAAGATGGCAAGACATTGGCAATCGGCTTGAGGACCTGGTAGTTGTTGTCGACAATGCTCCGTGCCACAGCCGGCTAGAAGCAGTTCATGACGGGACTCCAGCAACGCTACTTGAGGTTAGCTCCTTATTCACCAATGCTGAATCCCGTGGAAACCATATGGTCGAAGGTGAAGGCTTTCGTAAAAGCAAACCTTAGAGTTCCACAAGTTCAACCACCCGGCGTTGGAGAGCAAAGGCTCGCCTACTTAGAAAATGTGATTGATCAAGCAAAAAACACTATTGTTGACGGTGATTGTGCACTAGCTGTCCAACACACTACGACCTTTCATCCTGCAGCCTTAGCAATGGAAGACATGGAAGTAGGGAAGTAAAAAAGGTTGGGAGGTTTCTTAAATTGATTTAAAAGAAGATTTGCAGAGTTTAAATTGAGCCTCCGTTTTATGGCTTGTTTGTTGTGACCTTTTTTAATAGTGACCTTTTTTAATAGTGACCTTTTTTAATTGTGACCTATCCTCAGTGCGTACTAATTTATACTTAAAGTATACCTACATAATTTAGGGTGTATAAATTGTTAATGCATGCCTACTGTAAATACTGTGATATGACGAATTATAAGAACTATTTATTTATGTTAATGTACAGAGAGTATTTATAATGTTGAGGATGTGTTATGTTGAATTTTTGTTTCTCACTATCATAAGTTCTCAAATTAATACATTTAAATTTTTTTTTAATATTTGAGTTTTTTCTAAGTAGGCCTAAATAAATATTAAAAAAAAAATATTTTTTTTTTTTCAGAAATTATTGTAGTATTAAACAGTTAGGGGCCTATTGGGTTTATCAAAATAAAGCTGCTTATCTCACGAGGAATGTGAAAGAGTATTATTATATGTATTTTTTTAGAAAAATGCAGGTATTTAAAAGGTACAAAATATTCCAAAGAAATTGCCCCTATTTTGAAAAGTATTTAATACAGGAGAGCTTTGAAATTATCTATAATATGACATGCCATGTTTTTATTTATTATTGTGAGATTCAAACCTTTGATATGATATATTCTGTATTCAAAAATCAATAAATATATTAATAATATTGCTTGGGGTTGGTTTAGTGGAAAAAACCATTTAATCATTGTATGACAAACAGTCACTGTCCAAAATCTGGAATCCTTTTATGAATGCATGACCTTGCAAGATTCGTCCCTGTAGCCTATAATACCAGAAAATGGTTAATTTCATATCACAATCATTGTTTTTAGTGCTTTTAGTGAATTTCCCTATAGGGAAGTAGCTATTACTGTGGGTCTCATGGTAAGACCTAGGCCCGGGACCAATTTACTTTTTCATTTTGTCCCCAATGTTTTTCTAGCATTGTACTTATGGAGAATATTGTAAAATGTTGTATTTGGCTTGTTTATGGATATATTTTGACCAAACTTAGCAGATTCTTTTTATTTTTTACTAAGCTATTAATATTTTAATAAAAAAAAACACACTTTATTAGTTTCCCTATATCAGTAAACCTAGGTACTCGTTAAACACAAATGTTAATTTAATAGATTAATTGAAAATCAAACCAGGCAAATGGAAATTTGCATAGTAGGCAGGTTTGCTGCAGCGAGGGTATTAATATTACATTTTATTATTTTAATATTGTAGAAATTGGCAACTTCTTCAATTGTATTTAGGAGAAATATCCATCAGCTGAATTTTGAGTTTCTCATTATCAAATCACAAGTTCTCAAATACATTTAACAATTTCTTAAATAGAATTCACTGCTCTCAAATTCATTTGATGTCTTCTCAAATACAACTGACTGTTCTCAAATTTAATTGATGTTTTCTCAAATACATTTAACTAATCTCAAATACAATTGATATGTTCTCAATTAAACATAACTGTTTCTCAAATAAAACTGGAAAAGGTGTAGATAATTCTTGATTATTGTCGCCCATAAAATATACCTGAAGGAAACTGTGCTCACATTTTCTGTCGGTAAAATTGAACCAATACGGTGGTATATTTGTCCTTGCACAGTAAATGTGGTAGGATAATTATGGGAAATAACCTGACCACTTGTTCCAAACGATGTCATTTGATAACATGTGTTGTATTGACGCACTTTCTTTAAAAACTCTCTAGAAGTGGGGGATTCCCCAGCAAGAAGGGATTTTAGTGGCTCAGGGGGCTCTTCAAGCACTGGAAGTTTTACTTTTCCCATAGAGCAACAGATCCCAGGGCTTTCACTTTTCCACCTAAACGCACCACAATGCCTGCAAATGTTGGTCATGCCACCAATCATTAAAAGTCCATGATTGTTATAAGGCATAATTGGATCGTAGTTAAAAGCTATACCCCTAACTGATCCCATGTCATACGCATGAAATTCGCTCTTTCATCCCTTCTTTGTCTTAAAAGATTTTCACGATCTTGTGGTGTATGGCTTAATCTTTGGTTAAAACGTCTTTCATTGTCATTAGTTAGACGGGCCTCGCGCTGATCAGGAGTTTCCTCAGCACGTGAAGCAGCCGCTCTCTCCGTATTTGCAGATAGACGCGCCTCACGCTGAGCCGGGGTTTCTTCAGCACGTGAAGCAGCCACTCTCTCCGCATTTGCAGCTAGACGCGCCTCACGCTGAGCCGGGGTTTCTTCAGCACGTGAAGCAGCCGCTCTCTCCACATTTGCAGCTAGACGCGCCTCACGCTGAGCCGGGGTTTCTTCAGCACGTGAAGCAGCCGCTCTCTCCACATTTGCAGCTAGACGCGCCTCACGCTGAGCCGGGGTTTCTTCAGCACGTGAAGCAGCCGCTCTCTCCGCATTTGCAGCTAGACGCGCCTCACGCTGAGCCGGGGTTTCTTCAGCACGTGAAGCAGTCGCTCTCTCCGCCTTTGCAGCTAGACGCGCCTCACGCTGAGCCGGGGTTTCTTCAGCACGTGAAGCAGTCGCTCTCTCCGCATTTGCAGCTAGACGCGCCTCACGCTGAGCCGGGGTTTCTTCAGTACGTGAAGCAGCCGCTCTCTCCACATTTGCAGCTAGACGCGCCTCACGCTGAGCCGGGGTTTCTTCAGCACGTGAAGCAGCCGCTCTCTCCGTATTTGCAGCTAGACGCGCCTCACGCTGAGCCGGGGTTTCTTCAGCACGTGAAGCAGCCGCTCTCTCCGTATTTGCAGCTAGACGCGCCTCACGCTGAGCCGGGGTTTCTTCAGCACGTGAAGCAGCCGCTCTCTCCGCATTTGCAGCTAGACGAGCCTCACGCTGAGCCGGTGTTTCTTCAGCACGTGAAGCAGCCGCTCTCTCCGCATTTGCAGCTAGACGAGCCTCACGCTGAGCCGGGGTTTCTTCAGCACGTGAAGCAGCCGCTCTCTCCGCATTTGCAGCTAGACGAGCCTCACGCTGAGCCGGTGTTTCTTCAGCACGTGAAGCAGCCGCTCTCTCCGCCTTTGCAGCTAGACGCGCCTCACGCTGAGCCGGGGTTTCTTCAGCACGTGAAGCAGCCGCTCTCTCCGCATTTGCAGCTAGACGAGCCTCACGCTGAGCCGGTGTTTCTTCAGCACGTGAAGCAGCCGCTCTCTCCACATTTGCAGCTAGACGCGCCTCACGCTGAGCCGGGGTTTCTTCAGCACGTGAAGCAGCCGCTCTCTCCGTATTTGCAGCTAGACGCGCCTCACGCTGAGCCGGGGTTTCTTCAGCACGTGAAGCAGCCGCTCTCTCCGCATTTGCAGCTAGACGAGCCTCACGCTGAGCCGGTGTTTCTTCAGCACGTGAAGCAGCCGCTCTCTCCGCATTTGCAGCTAGACGAGCCTCGCGCTGAGCCGGGGTTTCTTCATCACGCAACTGGGCACTTACTCTGGCTTTTTTTATTTTTGGGAGAGGTTACTTTTTCTATTTGGCATTTAATCAATACTTTCAAGCACATTTGATTTCAGCTCAAATAAAGTTATTCAAATACAAACTGAATGAACACTCACTATTGAATATTTTTAATGTTTTGAAATTATAACATCAGTTTCATCAATGCTTGTAAATACAAATAAAGTAAGACAATAAAAAACATCTGATACACAAATAGACCAAAAATACCTAAGTCTGACTGCTATTAGGCTACTGTCAAATTGCAATATCTACAGCTGCTTACAAATTTTTACAATTCAGTATTTGATTGTTTACATCCTTATAAAATGTAAACATGGAAGCTAAGGACGTACACGGGGCGTAGCCCGAGGGGATTTTAAGGAAGTGAATAGGCTTATATGTTTCCCAGGTTCAAGATCTACCTCTGAGTGAAATTTCAACCCAGTTGGTTCAGTATTTTTCGAGTTTACTTTTCCCATACACACATACAGCAACCACCTCTTTTTTATAATAGTATAGATTCACCCTTAAATGTTACTGAAAGTATATGTGTAAATCTGAATCATGCTAGTGACCCTTCTGCCTCACCTTTTTTAGTATTAAAAAAGTAGTTTCAACAACAAAAAATAAAATAAATAAGATTAAAGTCTTCCACCAAAACATTCAACATTTGAGCTCTAGAATTGATATCTTAGAAATTACAATTGATGAAATTTGTCCACACATAATAATTTTAACAGAACACGATTTTAAAAACAATGAGATGTCAAGAATAAACATAAAAAAACTATCAAATTAATGCTTTCCACTCCAGGCAAAATACAAATAAAGGTGGGGTTCTAATCTTATCGTCCAGGTCTTACCATGAGTACTACGGTAATAGCTTATTCCCTATATGGGAAATTCGCTAAAACAATAATAAAAATTGGGCTACTAAAGACATCAGAAGTACAAATAATCAAATTGTTCAATTAACAAGAGAAATTAGAAGAACTAGGAATTAGTTATCAAAATTATGTAAAAAATTGAAATGTAACCTCAAGCATATGTTAGTAAAATCAAAAAGGGAACATTTTGAGAAGAAAATTAATAACTCAAATAATGTACCCACAAAGCCGTCCCACAAGGTTCAATATTAGGTCCTCTGTTATTTTTATGTTATATGAAAAACATGGAAAATGCCTTGTTATTCCAACCTAATTCAAAATTAATTTATATGCCGATGATTCAAACTTGAAATTATCATCAGAGACTTTGGAAGAAGCTGAAGTAAATTGTAAACTAGAATTAGAAAACATCAATAAATTTCTCAAGGATAATAATTTATTTTTGAATGTAGGAAAAACTAATTGTATTAATTTTAAAACAAAACAAAACAGAAATAAGAGAAAACCAGTGATATATTTGAATTATCAGCATATTATAACAAAACCAAATGCTCAGTTTCTTGGCTTAACTATTGATCAGCATCTAGATTGGAATAACCATGTGGACAAAATTTTACCAAAAATTAGTTCTGGAATATTTGCTTTGAGGAAAATGTCTTTTTATTGTAATATTGAAACAATGCGTAAAATCTATTTTGCATACATACATTCCCATATTGCTTTTGGGATTTGTTTATTTGGAGCAACTTAAAAAATTAATCTTGAAAATATATTAAAAAAACAAGAATATGCAATTAGAATAATGCTAAAACTACAGCGTGATGCCTCTGTGAAAAAACACTTCGTTGAACTCAATATTTTGACAGTCTACGGACAGTATATTTTTGACTGCATTTTAATGGGAATTAAGAAAGCTGATTCTCGTCCTTCAGATTATATTTCAACCCTTCATAAATACAATACTCGACATAAAGACTCAATAATAACATATAAACATCAAACAAAATGTTTTGAAAAGAAACCTTCCTACATCGGTCAAAGATATTTAAATACAATTCCAAAAGAAATTAAAAAAGAAAGTAATAACAACAAATTTAAAAAAAAGATTAAAAGAATATCTTATTAAAATAGCTCCGTATTCTTTTGAAGATTTTTTCCACCCATCACAGTCATAATGAATACATAAACACTTTTTCAGTCTCCTGCATAGAGTGGATGAGATTGTCACTTAGGCTAGTTTGAGTTGTTGTACAACCTGACACTATTCGATGAATATATTGTACAAAATAATGAATAAAGAAGTTTGAATTGAATATGTATGGTGTAAGTGCGGCCCCACCCACTTGGCAAAAATACATTGAGAGTGTGCTTGCCGGCATCCAAAATTGTACTGTAGTCCATGATGACATAATTCTCAAGGCTAAGATGGATGAAGAACATTTAAATGTTTTACGTCAAGTACTAGAAAAGCTCAAATCTTGCGGGTTACATCTTAATATTAAGTGCAAGTTTTTTCAAGAGGAGGTGACATACTTAGGCCACAAAATCAATGCTTCTGGTATTTCAAAAACTCAAGAAAAGGTTCAAGCCGTGCTTAACTTTCAACCCCCCACTACAGTTAAGGAAGTTAAGTCCTTCTTGGGCATGGTATCTTTTTACGGAAGGTTTTTCCCAAACTTATCTACGCTAGCCAATCCATTATACAACCTACCAAGAAAAAACGTCCCTTTTAAATGGTCTAAAGAATGTGAAAATAGCTTCCAAGATATAAAGGAAGAAATTGTATCTGATCGCATCTTGGTTCATTATGACCCAATGCTTCACACTTTTGGTTTGCCATGTAGAGCAAGTGGATATTCACGGAAACAAGAAGAATGACGTAAAACCCATTAAACGTCTACAGTAGTGCAAGTTTTCACAACTGGAGACACTACGGGAGGTCATTCCAGGGAAGTAGTTAAGTGTTTGGAAAGTGTTGGTCTTGATCCTGATGGCATGTTGGGCCAAAGTATGGACGGTGCTGGCAATATGAGGGGAAAACACATTAGTGTGAAAACCTTCCTAGAAAAATACTTTCCAAAATACTTTAAGAACCAGGTTCTAAGATAGTTCACTATGACGAGAAAAATATGACAGATGGTCCGAGAAGAAAAAAGTTATAGTTAGAAGAGGTACACGTCATCCTGAGCAAATCGTTGATTCTTCAAAGGCAAGTACATCTGTAATATTTTCAGGGAGGGCAGTGAATCTCTACGACTAGTGGATTAAGAATGGTCCTAGGGGATCTGTTTATAATAAGTCAAAGAGTGGGTGGTTCACGCTTAAAACTTTTGAGGACTGGCTCCAAAAAAGCCATTCCATACTTCAAAAAGTATGAAAATATGCTGTTAAGGTAATAATAGGAGACAAACTAGCAAGCCACGTTTCACTAGATATTATTAACGAATGCTAGTAATTATTAACTAGCATATTATTCACTAGATATTATTAACGAATGCTAGATGAACAACATTAAGCATGTGCCTCTGCCACCAAATAGTACTCATTTTACTCATCCTCTTGATGTGGTTTTTAGGCCACTTAAAATAAAGTGGTGCCAAACATTAAGTGAATGGAAAGAAGAGTCGTAGTGCAATACCTAAGGATAGTTTTCCAAGACTATTGAAGAAGTGTATTGATGATATGGGTGAAGAAAACATTGCAAAAAACTTGATAAGTAGTTGTAGGTGTACAACCGGATTATATGATGGAAGACAACTCAATTAATGACCCTGCAGAGTAACAGCCAAGCACCAAGTAAAACCACCAAGCAAGAGTATCAAATCAAGCTTCAAATAAAGTCCGTGTTTAAAAAAGAGCCAGAAAGGACAGTTCTGATTCTATTGACAATGATGAATTATACTCACTGCTGGATTCAGATGCTGAACTTGTTTTAAGTGACTTCCTAACGACAATTTTGAAGAACCCGAACCTAAGAATGTCTACAAGAAGGCCAAGAGGACCATAGTGAACGTGAAAGAGATGGTAAACCAGATATATTTGCAATTGTTGAATTGTTATTTGATGAGGGGACCAAAAAACAAGCAGTAAAGCAGTTTTATGCAAAAGTGATAAATGGGTACATCACCGAGATTAAACTAAGTGTCAATTATTTTAAGGAAAATATGAAGACAGCTGGCAATGGTTTTGTGTTTCCTTAATGATGAAATGTAGGTAATTATATCACAAATTGTCAAGGTTGTTCAGCCTACGGATGTAAAGAGTGGACACTACAATTTTTTGTATGAGTTAAATTGATAATTCAGTCTTCAAAATCCTTAAAACATATAAAATGTCAGTAAATGAGGTTTTTCCATTAAATTCACTTTTTAAATATGGCTATTGTTTATTTTAGTCTTTTATTTTAAAACTAAATTCTTTTCTGAAATGCTTAAATAAACGAAATCACGTACTGCTGCAGTATGATCAAAGTGATAAGGAAAGAGCTGTAGAGGCAGATGGGGAGATTAGTAAGAAGCTAGCAGCTAAGGCTGCGTTTACATTGGAGGCACGCTTGGGCAAGTAAAATGGTGGCGCACGCTTGGCCAAGCTTGCCCTTTGAAACAAAATTGTAGCAGATTACTGGAAACCGGTGGTGACTTGACCAGTGGTGGTTACAGTGCTCGCCACTAGCAAGCGCACGCTGGGACAAGCTTGCGCTTCTCAAATCACGAAACAAAAATATTTGTTTCTACAAGCAAGCGTGCCTCAGTTTGTTGTGGTTCACCGACACAGTAGCATCGTTTGTGTCTGTTGGTAAAGTGTTTATAGTTGTTCAGCATGGATACGGAGGTGTTGATTGATGCTGTTCGTGCAAGAAGACCAATTATATAGGATTAATTAGTTTCAGGCTACAACCAGGGGTTCCCATCGCCTAATTAATGATTGTAATTCATGTATTTTTCACATAAAGTATGTATTTTTCACATTTTCTTATCATAAAGAAAAATAATTTCAATTACTTTATGACTTGCAATGCAATTATCTGTCAAAATTAAATTCTTTTCTCCTAAACTTAATTGCCTTCATTGTGTACTACAATAGACCCTACCGATAAGGTAAATAATTCATTAACAATAATGGTAGCACAAGTGTAAATATATTTGATTAAATTACGCAAGTCGTAGGCTTATTTGAATTGTTAGCAATAACTACTACAATAATACTGTACATATAATGCCCTTTCAATTACCTTAACGTAACCATCAGCTTTTCTTCGGGAGAGATACACTTCCTGAAGTTGGAATGCTTTTCAATATTTGGTGTTATTCTCTCTAAAATGTAGTAAAATGTTTCTGACATCATTCTAAAATATTAATAAAACTTATCTGACTGTTGCAGAAGATCAGCAAAAACCCGGGCATACTCCCTTCCTTCTTCTCGATCCATAAAAAAATAATTTACCCATTCCCCCCTTACTCGTTCAGAGTCTAATAATAATAAAAACTTTAAAACTCCATTCTCTAGCACAATATTTTCATCGTCTGACATGTCAATTTTGACTGTACTGTCCTGTTGAGACTAGGGGCACTTGCGCTTGGTTGCTCGTAGTATAACCACAACGTCGGGCACGGCACGCTTGCGCAAGCGTGCGCTACCATTTTACTTGCCCAAGCGTGCTTCCAATGTAAACGCAGCCTAAGACATTTAATGTACCTCGTACATCTCTAGTAAGAAATGTAAAGGGAGACGTTCCTGTCAAAACAAAAATGGGAGCTCCAACTGTGCTTACAAAAGTTGAGGGGGTTCTCTTAGAAGAGTTCATCCGTGCATGCTGCAGGAAAGGTTTATCTGAGCACAGTGATAACATTTGCGTGTGTAGAAAAATTATGGAAAAAGCAAATCGTGAAAATGTGTTTCCAAATGGGCGTACGTTCCTTAGAAGATTTAGAGCTTTTATAAAGCGATATCCTAAGTTTACAGTGAAAGAAGCTGTGTTTCTGACAAAGTCCAGAGCTAATGTTTTCTGAAACATTAGCTCTTGACTTTGTCAGAAACACAGCTTCTTTCACTGTAAACTTAGGATATCGCTCTTCTGAGAGGGCGTAAGAAAGTGGTATCCTAAAAACCATAAAAACACTAGTAACTGTATTCAACGATGCAGAACGAGTTTTAATGGGTACGAGACTGGATTCTGACTTTGTCCAAAAACTGAGAAAGTCATTTGTGAAATATTAGAGAGAAATACTTGCATCAAATAATGAATATTAGAGGTATGTGCACATTAACCTAACCTAACCCGCCTATTATTGTCCATCCCTACAAAAGACTTCCAAGATCAATTGCCGATATTGTACCCGAGGAGTATGGAATAGGTCTATCAAGCAGTGGGTGGATGAATAGTGAAGATTGTTATGAGTGCAATGCTAACTGTTTCATTCAATATTTAAATTACAACATGTAATAATGCCAGTAATATCTTTTGTTCATGGTTATCGCTTACATGTTACACTTAAAAGTATTCAAAAAATGGAATCATCCTAGTGGAGTCGAAAACCCACTTGCGGACCAACCTACTGACAACCTTCTCTCTGGGCAAGATCGAAGAAGCTACTGTAACTCAGGAGGAAAATGCCAAAAACGAGAAAAATCCAAGATCCAATTGGATCCTTCGAGCAATTCATTGATATGACAGGCTTGTTATGTATAGGAGGGTTTTGGAAACAAAGAATGAATGGTGGGATGAACACCCAGACGAACGAACAAACTAATTATATACAAGGTTTGGCGGGAAATAACAATTTATGTCGTTGAGGTTATACAACTGTTGGACTCAACCCTGATGTAATAAACTCTAGTAAAACTAAAATCATGTCCAATCAAAATGCAAGTTCCTTATGAACCTCCAATTGAAACTTTCAGCAATAATACCATGCTTGGTTTTACAGATATGACTTGGAAGGCGACAGCCAAACCATTTCCAAGTGGTTTACACTTTTTTTATCTTTTTTTACACAGTTTTTCTATCTTTAACAATTTATGTAGGTACCTACCAACTAAATGCTCAAAACATAATTAAATTAGCATCCACTAGCCTGTGTAATATTTAACACTAAACGTGTGTTCATATATTTGTGCAGTTTTTTTCAACCTGTGCTTTTCTTAGCTCATATTCAAACAGGACTTTTCGGCACAAGTTCCTCAATGAGTTGGTTGACTGAGGTTCTATAGAACAATATTTTTAATATTTAATATTTCAATATTTTTGATATTTTTACTGAGTTAAAAGGAAACTCAATGCACACATTTTTTGCAGTATTAAGGATGAAATGTTTTATGAGGATTCGTATAAATATTCCAAACAATCCGGAGTTATATGAAGAAATGGAAAGAAAAGAAAGGGCACAATACTACAACTAACAATAACGATACAATCTGTTAAAGATGAAAAGTTTAAAAATAATTTTTATTTTGATTCTAATTCGCAATAGGTAATACGAAAATTGTGGAAGAAAAAGTCAAGGAAAAGTAGGAACTTGAAAAGATTATAGAGAGTTCTGAAACACTACGGATTGAAGATACCCTCCAAATAAACTCCGGAACCGTAAAGCCTTGGTAAAGCCTGGTTACTATTTCATGGGCAGCAACTTTTTACAAAAGAGTACAAGATATCTATGACTACAACCAGAAAAGAATTATGTCACTCTTTTCAAATTGTATTATTATTTTATCTTACTCACATTACGAGCCAATAGCTCCAGAACTCTGAAGGGACACTGGGAGGAGCTTCGCAGGTAAGCTACAATCAATTTACTTAAAGAAAAGATAATTAAGCGGAATTTTCCAACATCTGGACGAAAAAACAGATTTTTCTGACATTTCCTTCGAGAACGTTAGGAGTTCAAAAAGAAAAAGAGAAAAGATAGTATTTTTGAATGACTGTGCTGTAACGTAAACTATCGGAGCAGGCGAGGATGTCAGCAACGAGGACAATCAAGACGAAATATAAAGATTTTGGAGGGTTCATGTTCTGTTCAAGTCCTCCGTTGTAGCTTTTTACTGCCATCATTGCAAAATAGGTTATGGGCCCAGGGTGGCAATAAACTGTTTTTTAGTTGATGTCCTAAAAAGCTTGTGTGAAAGTCAATATTTCACCACGGCTACTACTATGACTTATTCAACTACAACTACGACAACTAGATTCCACCCTATGTCACCCGGTGACGTCACTGCATTTAATCAATTTGAATGACCTTGAGTGCAGTCACATCTCCCTCTGCCCACACTTAGGACTTAAAAGCTGTATAAATTTCTTTTCCATCGAATCTCTGAAAAACTGCAGCGAGACACACTACTGTAGGGAGGAAAACTATTACAAGGCAATATTTGCCAGGTAGCTTGAGCATAGCAAAACTTTTTAGAGCATATAAAGTACAGTCTTGAGCATTTGAAAGATAAACACTCTTATTTAAGGAATATATTCAACCTGGAATGCAACACGAGATTTGTAACTCCTGAGATGCATGTTCCAAATGTAGGGAATATCAACAGTAGTTGAAATCAGAGACAGACATGTCCAACAAAACAAACACAAGGTATGATTGAATACAGAGTCATGAGCTGAGAGCTTAGGCTTTTTCAATAAGTAAAGAGAGAAAATGGAAGAGTTAGGAATATTGTCATTCGATTGCCATGATTCTTTCTAAAGTATCAAATGGCACAGCATATTACAACAGACAACTGTATACTTCCATATTTTTTCAGTTTTTTTAGGCTTTCCAAAAACTAAATTACTGCAGAAAATACGTTCATTTAGACCAACAACGAAAATTAATTCCATAAAGGATCTAACGAAATATTATTATCTGTTTTTTACTTCCTTTGTTTATTGGACCTGGAAGGTTGTGATACCATTCATCTATGCGCCAATGGCTAGGTGGCTACTGATTGAGATGTGTTCATATTTCCTCCACAACATCGCTCCACCTGGTGTCAAAAAAGATTAAACTAGTTTTTCCTATTACAGGGCACTTAATCCTTCCTTTAGAAAAGGTATTTGGTAGAATAGAAAAAATAGTGAAACATATCCCTGTAATTTTAACCCCAAAAGAGTATGATAATAGTTTTAGGTTTTTGTAATATTTAATTTAATAAATTTTTTACCATTTACTGTATTATTTGTTCCGAACCATCTGCTGTACTTTTGATGAAAACGGGCCGGAGAAAACTTAAAAAAGTCAAAGCAATTCTCGAGGCAGAAAACCCTAGAAATGTGAAATCAACTGCAATCTTTCATTAGCATGGTAAATTACTACGTCAAATTTATACCAAGACTGGCCGTATAAATTTCATATATTCAATGAATAAGGTTTTAAGGACAGCTGCTGTTTCAATAGTCCCAAGAATGTGATAACAGCTTCAACAATGTTAAAAAGTACATAGCTAAATGACACACCTATAATCCAATTCCTCTTATACTATCAACTGAAGCATCCATCTCCTTGTAGATTGGGAGCAGCCATCTCCCATAAGTTTCCTAAAGGCGGGGAAAACCCCATAGCTTTTTCTTCACGATCTTGATCAAAAAGTGAAAAAAAAAACAGAATACTTCCCTTCCTCGTCACCATTTATTGTATATTAAATAATTATATTCATCTCAAAATACATACTAGTCAACTCAATCTATTTTAATGTACACAATACCCCCGCCGCAGCAATTACAGTATTAGTAACAGCCCATCGTAAGATTGTGGGTGTTTTTTGTAAAACTTTAAACGGCCATGGTTCAAAAACAGGTGAACATAAAGAATTAAAACTGGGGTTTTTCTTAGTCTACATAAACGTTAAGTTCATTGTTTAAAAGTTAAATCTATGCTAAATTTCATCAAAGTCTGAAATGGTCAAGTTGAATCGTTGTTGGTTTTACATGGAACTTGTTTCAAATTTGCCAAATTTGAAACAAATGCTGTCCTTTGCTAAACAAATTTGCCATGGCTAAATAACATAAACATGTCTTATGTTAACTTAGCCTTATGTTTACTTTATTTGAAATTTTAAGATAGCCTACTCTGTCGATATAAACCACTAATGACACTATGTTTTTAATTATTATTATTGTGGAGTAACAAATAAATGTGTAACATTATAGAAGGCTAAGTTATTTTTATGTTTTTACACAATTATTTGATAAAAATTTCACCCATAATTAAATTCTTAACAGTTTTGTTTTTTCCAGATGCCTCGCAGTAAAACAGGGGTGAAGCGAAAACCAGCTTCCAAAGAGGACCTCCAAAAGGCCATAGGCATGATTTTTAAACAAGAAATTACAGTTTACAAGGCTGCAAAAGATTTTGGACTGTTGAAGACGACCTTGCTTCAACAACTGAAAAGCTTCAGGGCATCAGGTTTGCCAAGTTACGAATATAAGCAAAACAATGACACTAAAAAGGTTTTTACTGATGCTGAAGAAAACCTTCTAATAAATTACATAGACAAAGCAGCCCACCTGCACTACGGACTAAGTTTAAGTGAAGTAAGATCTCTAGCCTATCAGTTTGCAAAACAAAACAATAAAATGTATGATTCCTCATGGGATACCCATAAAAAGGCTGGGAAGGACTGGTTGATTGGTTTCCGTAAGAGACATGGAAACCATCTATCTTTACGAAAACCAGAACCAACAAGTCTGGCTCGCTCCACATCATTCAACAAAGCCAACGTAATGTTAGTTTTTGAAAATTTCAAGAAAGCTCTTGATAAAAATCCTGGAATAGGCCCGTTTACTATATGGAACTGTGACGAAACGGGCATTTCCACAGTCCATGTACCACCAAAGGTGTTAGCAAAGAAAGGATTAAAACAAGTTGGGGGTATGACTAACGCAGAGAGAGACACTAATATTACTATGATTGCTGCTGTTAATGCTGGCGGAGAGTTTATGCCTCCAATGCTTATTTTTCCTAGAAAAAATTTTAAAGACTACATGTTAAAAGGTGCACCACCTGGAACAATAGGCGGAGCAAACCCTTCTGGTTGGTCTAATGAAGAGTTGTTTATGGAATTTTTCAAGCACTTCATCAAGCATAGCTGTGCAAGCAAGGAAAACCCGGCGATACTTCTCATGGATAACTACGAGAGCCATATCTTTGTACCAATCATCCAGTTAGCCAAGGACAAGTGACACTAATGACGTTCCACCCACACACCAGCCACAAGATGCAGCCCCTTGATAGGGGGGTTTTCGGACCCTTTAAGGCTTATTTCAACAACTCCATGAATCCATGAACAACTGGATGACTACGCCTGGAAATGTTGGGAAACCGGCCACCATTTATGATATAGCCCACACAGCACAAAATATCCTCAGGATATCCTGTACTAGTCCAACAACTCCTATGGAGATCCCGGTAAATATAGGATATTACTGGGATATCCTGAAATATCACGGGATATATTCGTTATCCTCCGCATATACACATTATAGGATATCCACGATGTTATATTGTGGATATCCAGAAAAAGTCCTAGGGATATTGATTGGTTTTAAATTTTAAAAATATGTTTTATGCTAGACCCATTAGACTACTTTTATTTTTTCTCGGTCTGTTTGATCAAACTACAACGTTATTTTATTCGTAAATCATGTGTTAAAAAGTTCAAAAAATAACAACGGTCCCGCGGGTACGTGCGTACTGCACAATTTGCTATGGCTATGGCCACTGCGGTTCGCGACTGCATCCCTGCCCTGCCCTGAGCCCTGAGCCTCAGATTGTTCAGCCTGAAGTACTGACTGGAGTGACTGCGCAATGGCGGAAGGTTCTGTAAGGTAAGGCTATGTATCAATTACTAGGAAAGTTAAACATATTATAAGTTAACTTAATTATAATTATGGTGGTAGTAATTATTACTCATAATCTAAACCACACTAAAGAAATTGCCGACATTACAATAAATCGCATAGACCATGTCACAAGAATGGAATTGATCGGTTACGTTACAAGTTAACTTATTTGTGTAGGTTCTCAATCCTTCCCATTAAAAGTATGTGTGTGTACGTGCTTTTAAGTTACACTTTTAAACATAAGTTAGGCCTATGTGTGAAATTAATACAATCAGTTCCAACTAGGCTAATATGACTTACACATTAGAAACTAGAAGAAATCTTTCAAAAACCTGCATAACTTAACCTAGGCCAGATGTTCCGTTGTAAAATTCACTTACTAGGTTACAATTTAAAACGAATTGTAGCCTAGGCCTAGTACAGCATCTTTTCTCACGGTTCAAATTTCATAACCAATCAGGCCTATATACAAAAACTTTCTCCTTTCGATCCCTAGGCTAGGCCTACTTAGCCTATAAGTTAATCTGATGATCGTACCTACCCCAAGTAGGCTAAGTTAAGTTAGTTCAATTTAATAACTGATTGAAAATATTAAAGGTACACAAAAATATGAACTAAGTTAGCTTGGTCTAGGCCTACCCTCTGTAAGTTTCCATTAGGCTTAGCGGGTAGACTTCCGTATCTGTTGGCACAAACAACCGAATGAAAATATTCGATTGATTCATTCGATATAACTTATCGTTTGATTAGTTAGGTGAAGGATATATCGATCGTTATTTTCATTCGGTTGTTTGTGCCAACAGATACTTATTCTTATTCTTATTAGTGATGTATGCCAATTTTTCCCACAGCCTCTTCTTTTTCTTATCTCACAATTAAAAAACTGTTAATATTTTTGGTCTTTTTTAGAGTTTGAAGCCTATGTGAAAAAATCACTCATGGACATAAAGATAAAAATGAACGCATTTCTTCACATACAACATGGCATGATTCATACACAGCAGAACATACTCCAGACACTGGGTAAACTACAACGTAATCAAACAGTGACTGAAGATGATGATGAGGAGGCTACGCCAAATAATGATTTTGATTTAAATTTGTTGCCTCTTGCAAGTATGGAGGACTTACAACAATTTGAGGAAAAACTTAAAGATGAAAAGTACAGAAAGTATGTGGTAAGTGTACATTAATTCATTCAATAAGTTTAAGAAATTCTCAAATACATTTTATTCTTAAGAGATTTATTATATCTCTCACATATTGACGCCTTCATTTCTGAGAATGTATGGTAATAATTTATGTTATAACCTTTCATCAGCCTATTAATATGAATATTAAAAAACTCTTTTCCTTGATCAGTTTGAACATTTTTCATTTTATATTTAGCTAATATAGGTTCAAGTGCTTTAGCAACTACAGGGCCTGACTTATCCTTTAAAGGTATAGCAAAACCTAACTTGGAAAAACAGTTGATGATTGTCATAATATAGCGGTACCCCTTGTTTAACTTTGCATATGGCTGCATTTCTACTATATCAGCCTGGTACAAGTCATTTATCCCCTTAAGAGTTAAATTACGTCTGGTGTAGTTTTTTCTAGCGGGTTTGTGTAGTTCTTCAGCTATGCCTTCCATGGTGGAAATGATATATTCTTACACCTCTTTTAGCTTTATATTGGATAGAGTTTGAAACTATCCCCCATTAAGTGAGGCATGGTTAAGCATTTATAGCCCTAACAGCAATTGAATTTTAGATTAACCCAATAGTGTTAGGTTTTAAGAGGTTTAATTAGCAGGTTAGATTACATATAGGACTAACTCAAGAACAAAATCAGCTTTCAATATATATTGTTCTAATGTTTATTGATTCATTAAAAAGTAACTATAAGTTAAATAATTCAATAAAATAATACTTTAGAGAGTAAACCACACTCTGATAAAAACCTCACAGATCTCAGTTGTAAGATGTACTTATTGTAGAATATACTCAACAAATATGATGGTGAAAGATGTATACAGTACTCATATTTTAATACATTAGTGTAATCTTTTTAGTAACAAGTAGTAGTGAAAACACAATTAATAAGTATGATCAGTGTTTTTAATACATTAATGTAGTCTGTTGTAGTAAAACATTAAGTAAATCCTCAGTATAAATTAGTTAGTTTCATACAAATAGTATTCCACAGTCTAATTGCAGTCTAATAGTAATCCACAGGTAATTCTTTGGTAAATATCATTGATTAAATAAGGTTGTCTTTACTATAGAATCGTTTTTACCTGACTTTTTATTTTATTCAATAAAATAGCTCAAAATATATTTCATCGACACTAGCGCTCCAGTGGTGAATTAATAAACTTGTTTAACTTTGAAGTTATAAAGTTATAAAAAGTGAGATGATATCAATTTGGCAATACAGCTGGCAGGAAAGCAAATGGCGACCTACACAATACATAAAGTGAGGTTATGTTATAGATTCAATACGATCTTAATAGGGAGGGTCACAGCTAATTAATTTAGTATGAACATTATTCTCCCTGGTACAATTTAAACCCTTATCCCTAGGTTCAATCAGTTAATTCCCGATACCTTACTAAACCAAAAAATAGTTAGCTAATTATATTTATTGTTTGTTTCAGATGGCTACCCCTCTCCACCATCACTTCAATTAATATTAAAATTTATGTATAATAAGTTTATGTAAATAGTATAGAATAGAGTAATATAAGTATAAGTAGTGTATATAGATATGTAAATAAATCCATATTTAGCTTTCACAGTTGTTTTCATTATTCTTTCAACTAAATATCCAACAGATTTTAAAATTACATCATCTAATAGGGGGAAGCAGTCCACCAGCTAAAACAGCCAGTGGGAAAATTGGCGGGAAAGCAGATAACACAATACATAAAATGATAAAATGAGGTTATATCACATATACAATGCAAGGTCATGTAAACAGCTAACAGTAGTTAGCAATACTAGTGCTACAACCTGATGAGGAATTTGTAAACTATAACAAATCAGAGTAAAACATAAAGTGAAGTTATTTTACTTAGCAGAAAAGCATATAACACAGAAGTGAGGTTATGTTACGAGATCATATAATCAGCTATCAGTAGTTGGTAGAACTGGTACTACTACCTGGTGGATAACTTATAAACTAATACCTCAACTCAGAGTAATCCATTATGATGAATCTTATATCAAGTTAATCATTACTATAAACTGGTTACCATCAACACTAACACTCCAATGTTATAAACTTGTTTAGGTAAAAAGTGAGGTTATGTTACATATACAAGAGATCATGTGATCCACTAGGGATCGAACCCATGAACCTCCTGGACTCATATACAAACGGTTAACCATACCATAAAACAACATATCACCCGAACCAAAAATAAGTCATTTGGTGATTGGTAAGAGTCGAACCCGTGAACCTCTAAGATCAGAGTCTCACACTACTCCCACTACAATACGGTAGGGAGATACGGTAGGTTTTTCATTTAAAACATGAGTGGTTGATGGTTGTGATAATGTAGAACCTTGAGATGTCTTGTCATGTTCAAAATGAAGTAAGGTGTGATGACGTTTGTGGCATTTGAAGCAAGATGCTTTAGACTTACATGCTTTAACATCATGTTTTCCGAGGCAAGAGACACATCTGTTGTTGTCCTTTACGGTTTTAAAACGTTCATTTGAAGAAAGAGAGAGAAAGCTAGGACAAGCATAAACCTTGTGGCCAGTTGATGAGCAGACAAAGCAGGGAAATGAGAAAAGATTTTTGAGTTGTCTTGATTTGACTGAGTTGGAGTAGAGACCATTGTAACTTTCTGAGCTTGAATGAAATAGGGCTTGGATGTGAAAGATTTGGGTTTAAAATTTGAATTGTGGTTGTTCGTACTTTGAGCAAATTTGGTATGTAACACAGCGTCTTCCATTTGGTTACACTCTTGATTAAGAAACTTGACTATTTCGACTACTTCTGGTAGAGAATGTGTTTCGTACTTTAGATTAATTCTAAAAGCCTCTAGTTGTTTGAGAAGGTCATTATCTAATTTTCGTAAGAGTATGGTGGACAAGAGAGGATTAGAGCTAGAAATAATGTCACAGTTAAGACCTTTAAGTGCTTCAGTATGTTCATAGAACAGGTTGAGGAAGGTTCTGAGACATTTGTTTGAGGTGGAGGAAATGCCCGGTAGGTCGATCAGTTTGTTTGGATGAAGTGTAGTTAACCTTCGGGTGTTGTGATATCTGTCTCTGAGGAGCTGATAGGCAATTGAGTAATTGGCTGAAGTGATATTGAACGATTTTATGAGATTTAGTGGTTCATTT